GCCCATTTGCCCAGGTCCAAATACGCCTGTGGGTGACATATACATATAGGTCTTACTTTAGGCTATGCTGCATTATGAATTGCTATAAATATGGAGGTAATTGTTTAAATTTTTTCAAATCAATAAATTAACAAATTTTTCAATGGGACATAAAATAAGGTACCGTATAGGGGGTATATTTCCCAGGAAAATATTTCACAAAAATCACCTTTTAAGCAATTCACAAAGAAATTGCATTTTTCTTCTACTGACCATTATTAGCATCATAAAAAATAATTTTTATAAAGAAAAAATTTTATGAATTTTTTAAACCTGTGAAATTAAATTCCTATGAAATATACCCCTATACGGTATACGGTATGAAACATCTAGCCAAGGTCGGGGTACATGTTGTACATGTATTACTCCAGTTGGATAACAGCCTGAGTCAAACAAAGGTAAGACTTCCTTACGTGAGATTGACAGTGGACCATTAATTGGGGCAAGCAAAAGCGAGCCCCACATAGTCGAGTAGAGTATCTTTGTTTGTACACGTACGTCACCCCTATTTATGCGTTTATAAAAAATAATAATCACACAATTTAAAATAATTTTGATAATTATTAAAATAATTTTGATAATTAAGGTACCACGTGCAAAGACAATGAGTACGAGTAAAGCATCTTAATCACGTTGACTTCTTTGTAACGAGTGTGATTGGGAGAGAAGAAGAAGCGAGACTGAGGAGGAGAAAAGAGCGAGGAGGTCCAATAAAAATGCTAGAGATAGCCCAAAGACAACAAATGGAGTCTCCTCTGGCTTCTGAGATCAACCATCTTCCATGCTAGATCAAACTGCAGAGATCCTTAAATCACAAAGCTAGAACAAGCTATGAAATTCTTTCCATGCAAATTCTGCATTAGTGTAATGACATCAACATTAATGCAACATTAATAACCACTACATCATTGTCGATATACATGTAGACATTGTATATTGCTAATCGAAATGTTAATCGTTTTGCTCACCCCTTAATGTTTTATATTCGCCTATAGCAAAAGTAGATGATAGTTGGAGAGAGAGACCAACTGCACTATGCTAGCTGGAATATGACCGCGTAGAACTAAGTCACGTGAGACCTGAAGCGTGGGTGTACCTACTAAAACCACACCCCCATAAAAAATCTTAGCAAGATCTTGTGTGATATTATAAGGGTTAGTAAGATGAATGTAGGATGTCACATGGATAGGCATCTTGTAAAATCTTGCCTTGTACAATCTTGCAAGATCACTTAAAATCTTAATTACAAGATCTTTATGTTCTTGAATTTAAATTGATCATGCAAGATTGCAAGATAAAGTACCGTATTTCCTTTAAAAAAAGCCCAGGCATCTATTTCCTAAAATGATATTTGGACCTCCAAAAAATATATAAAAAATAATAAAAACTTGGGCCCAGAGCAGGATTTGCACCCGTCACCTCATGCTTTTGACTTCTGCAACTTCAAGCATTATCCACTAGACTACTGAGTCACCCTCAGATCTGAATTGCATATTTATACTTAAATTGTATTGCTACCCTGGCGTTTATTCGAATGCGGCTTCTATTTAAGGAAATACGGTATGTTCATAAGATTTTTACAAGATCTTTTATGATTGCAAGATCAAATGTAAGTTAAAAATCTCACATTATGTCAAGACCTTGTAAGATTACAATATCATGTGTGAATTAAAGATCTTAAATAATGTTGGCTATTGCAAGATCTTTCATGAGATCAAGGTCATGTATGAATGAAGATCTTGTATTGTTTGTAAGAATGCAAGATCATGTAAATTAAAAATCTTGCATCATATTGAGATCTTGTAGGATTGTAAGATCTTTTATGATTGCGAATCATGCATGAGTTCATGATCTTGCACTTTTTGTGCTCAAATAATTAATTAATAGTTGATGATGTCATGCCACACCTCCAATTTGGTAGTAGCTGGATTAGCTTGCATGCTGCTACTTCTGCAGGTAGTCTGGTAGATCTATACAAGCTAGCTGCTATTCTTCAGGAGTACACTTGTTTTATTAATATATGCAATTTGCATGTTAAAGTTCTTTTAATTTTGATAATTAAACAGCTATAGGGGCAAGGCCACGCACCGTAGGTGTCTCGTATTTCAACAGCATCTTGAGTCATGCATGATATTGAAATATCTTGCAAGACACATGACATCACAGGAAATAAAGGACAACCCACGATAGCCTTTTCTGGAAATACGGTATATAAAGAAAGCAAATTTCAAATCTAATGAAAGTCAATAAACATCATACATTTTTATTTATACATTCATGCAGATCTTACTAAATTTTTAAACTTATCAATTTTCATTCATAAGTTTTTTTGTAAAATCAAGCATCTTGTGTAATTTTGCAACATCATAATTGATCATTTCATTTAAGAAAAATGTGAGATCTTTGTTCCAAAATCATGGATATTTTAAAATAAGATCTTTAAAGATCTTAAATAAGATTATTATATGATCATTGGGGATTATGTAAGGTATGTAGGTACGATGAAAGATCTTTGTTCCAAAATCATGGATTATCTTAAAATAAGATCTTTCAAGATCTTGAATAAGATTATTATGTGAACGTTGGGGATTATGTAAGGTATCATGAAAGATCTTTGTTCCAAAATCATGGATGATCATGAAATAAGATCATGGATGAATCATTTAAGATCTTGAATTAAGATCAGCATATGATCACTATAGATCCTGCAAAATCATTGTTCCAAAATCTTATAAGGCTTTAAATATCTTGACTAAGATCTTACATTAAAAATCAGGCATGATCTTGCTAAGAATTTTTATGAGGGCATGTAGAAGTTTGCATAAGAAACAGTGGAGAACACTTGAAGAAGCTTTAGACATCATACTAGTACACTTTACAATGCTGCTGAAGCCTGTTATGCAGTACAGCTACAGCAGAGACTCCAAAACAGCCAGTATATAAACCTTGTTGAGCAAACTAGGCAGCCATTTCTTCATACTCAGCAACACCCAGTATGCGGAAATGCCCAAAGATGTGCAAAAAAGTTCTACGCACCCGCGGTCATATTCCAGCTAGCATAGTGCAGTTCAACACTCTCTCTAACTATCACCTACTCTTGCCTATAGTCTGTCCATGTTGAGTTCAGATCTTATTATTTATGCATGATTGTGGTTATTATAGAGCTCAGATGTTAAGTGGATCAAAAGTAGGTGCTAAGTGGTCCGAGAAGCCACAAAAATTCTCCATCATACATGTAAGCAGAATTTATAAAAAGACAGTAAGAAGCTTCTTTTGCTTCAGATTTTTTGGACACATAATGAATAATAGTTATAAACATTCAGAATGATTTCCTAAGCATGGCTAGTCAGTCTCTATCCTTTTTTCGCGCTTTAGCACGTACAGTCACCATTTTAAAAGTAACGCCCACTATAATAATGAAGGTGTGGTCTCTCCTGGAAATAGCAAAATGGAGGACAGGTTCAGTGTTATGTGGCTGCTAAATAAACTGATAACGAGTGGCAAACCATTGATGTTTGGTATAATCTTGGTTTCCCAAGTGTCCTTCTTCTATTTTACTTCATATTATATAAGCCAAGGTGCATCAGTGAAATAACTGTGCTGCAACAAAATCTTTAAGTTTGCAACTGTGCTGCCTGAGTTATTCAAGTTCTTTTTGTCCTGAAGTCAACCTGGAAAGAGTATAGTACCGTATAGCTTGAAATTTCCGTGGAATGTAAATTTCGTGGTTCAGAGGCTTCCCACAAAATTTAAACCCAGGAAATCATTGAAGTGCCATCCCCTTAAGCTGGGTTCACAATATTTGCATTGCGACCGGAAGTGCCTTATAACGCGATGATAAACGCAAGAATAGAGCAGAGTTCTATTCTTGCATTTACCCATTGCGTTATACAGCACTTCTGGTCGCAACGCAAATATTCTGAACCCACCTTAACAGGCTATGTAAACTGTCAACCACGAAAATTAAACCACGAATTGCCCCACTAGGAGCAAACTACAAAAATATCGACCCACGAAAATTTCAAGCTATACCGTATCATTACTTTTTTGGTATCCACCTACGGGTAATAATTGGCCACCATTTTTGGACAGCAAAATTCAATGGAAGATGGATGAAGAAAAACTAAAACTGATTCTTTTCGCTGGTATCCACCTTTTCAAGCTACAAAAGTTGGTTCAAGGAAAGAATGATTGCTGCTATTAAGCAGTTCAAAAAAGGGATTTGGAGCAATATGAAGCATATTCTCTATTACAGCTTGCTTTCTGCATTAGCACATTTAAACTCAATATAAAGTTTCAGTCCACAAAAACTATTTCATAGTCAATTAACTCAGCCTCAGTCATGCCCCTTGCTGTATATCATTTTATGATGCAGAGGAGGTTGGTCATGCGTCATGTGATGATGCCACTTCCTCTATCTATTCTAGTTCTCTCTCTTTTCACTTTAGCAGCAGTTATCTTACTAATAATACTTGCAATTGACTCAAAAACTTCAAATGCATCCAGTTAAAAGACTAATAAATAAGATTCCTGCAGCATAGTCAGCTAAAGATTGTAAAAGCTTGTCCCCTGTCTCAGATAGCTAAACTACACTTTTCTAACAAAGGCAAAGATACTGCATTTTTGAAATAAGTTTAGATCTTACTTTTGCTCTTATTGTTTGTTTACAAAGTGTATGCAGACTTAATCTTTTAACTGGATGATGCATTGAAGTTTTTGAGTCAATTGCAGGTATTATTAGTGAGATAACTGCTGCTATAGTGGCAAGAAAGAGAATCCTCCATCACATGATGCATGACCAACCTCCTCTGTCTTTGGTATAATTCATGAACATACATGTAGAAGGGGTTTACCTGTTTTAAACAAACTCATGGAGACATAGATATGACAAGTGGTTATTTCGTGCTACTTTTTCCATAATGCTAATTACATGTACATGTACATGTACCTTTACCAAAATAACTTTTTCATTTATACTATACAACACTGATTTAAAGCACAACATCATAGTGATTTGTCACAATTTGTAATAATACCATTATGCTCAAGATGGTTTCATTCGCAAAAGTAATATTTGGATTACAAGATTATATATTGGAAATTTTTTATTCTGTACCATCGAATTATTGAGCACGCAAACAGAATGACAGTTTCATATTGGTAATTTCTTAACAAACAGCCAATGACCAATATTAAGTAATTATGTGGTGAATTTGTGTGTGGAAAAATATATGGTTGAATAATGATTCACACAATCATTTAGATCAATTCACAAAATTTAAGCCCACAAGAATACAAGCTGTACATGTAAATGTAAAAACAACATTAAGAGAAAAGTCTAAATCTGTATAAGATTTTAAAATTAAAGAATTTATACACATATACATGTATGTACATGTACATTTAAATTTCATAAACTACATATTTACTTAAATTTAACCATTAATCATGGTATATAACAATACAGTAGCTCCCATATGTACAACTGTACCTCTCTTCTGTAGTCAGTTTTTCATTTTCCAAAATTTTCTTGTGATTTTCAAGTACCTAAGATTGACAATAAAATACATGTATTACCTTAGTGTGGGTATCAATTGCACTTTTTAATTTTTGCATTTTTAAGGGGACCCTGACATAGCCAAATTTTTTTAGTGAAAATAGGAAGAAAATTAATACTCAAATTCCAATTAATAGCATAACGCTACTGAAGAAGCCCAATCCGTCCATTAAAGAGCAAAACACTTTATAGGCTCACCCTATCTATTGCTACCTTAATACCTTGTTACAGATCTTGCCTATCTTTTGTACTTGTTTACACAAGACACAAGTACCAGTACATTATAACTATTATTAGGGACTGGTTTAATTAGTGTTTTTAAATCTACATGTACATACACTTAAATGTTAAAATTAATGCACATCTACATGTACATGTACATGTACATATGTATATGTTGCAATTCATACCCTCTCTAAGAAAAGAAGTACATATACATGTACATACATGTACATGTACATCCATGTGTACTACATATAAAGTATACTGTGCCCCAAAAAAATAAGCAACAATTATACAACCAGTATGCAATACAGTATGCTCATTCTAAAGTACTACACACCTGTAACTCAGTTTTTAGGTTGTTAGTAGCATCTTCCAAAAGTTTCTTCTCTTCCTGAAACTGCTTTGATAGTTTTTCTTGCTCAGCTAATTGCATTGCAGCCATTTCCTTTAGTTTTGCAAGAGACTATCCAAGTAAAACAATACATGAAAGTGTTAAACATTGTACATGTATGTAAGAAAATTTACTTCAAGATCAGATTGAAGCAACTTTGTTTCCTCTTCTAAACGCTTTTTTTCAGTATCAAGTATTTTTGTTTCTTCCACTTGCTTAGCTAATTGAGCCTCAGTTCTTTCTTTCTCTTGTGATACAGACTAATTAAAACAAGAGTGCAAAATTTTATGGCATGCTTTTAAAATGCTGCTATGCCTGAAATTTTTTGATGGCACTGTGTGCCATTTTCAAAGCTTACTTCAAGATCAGCTTGAAGCATATTCGTTTCTTCTTCTAAACGCTTTTTTTCAGCATCAAGCCTCTTTGATTCTTCCATTTGTTCAGCTAATTGAGCAGCAGTTTTTTCTTGTTCTTGTGATACTGACTACAAAAATAACATAACAGAAAACTTGTACTTACAAATGAAAATTAATAATCCATTAGGGTATACATGCAAGAGTGAATAAAAATTTCATGTATGCATGTAGTTGCCCAATGACTTCTTCTGAAAATCTGTACCAGCTTTAAGTCTTTACAAGTACAATGTACATGTACCGGCATGTATATGAAGACTGGTACATGTACAGTACATGTACTTTGGAAAGTTCTTACAGGTTTTTCCACCCACATATATTTAAAGGCACTGCTACATGTACCATGTACCATATGATAAATCAATGTAAGTATGCTACATCACATTCAGAATATCACTTGAAACTCATCATTCTTTTCATTTGTCACAACTACCACACTTTGCTACCACAAACATTCTGCTTCATGTACAATGTACATGTACATGTATATTTGTCTGCAGCATCTTAATCAGTAGCTAAGAAAAAACACTAAGTTCCAGATTTACACTGTAGCATCAACCAAAACAAGCTAGGGTAAAGTAAAAACAGCTTGCTTATGCAGTGCAGCAACTTATTTAAAAAATGGCATAGTTGCAAAAAGGAAAGTTTGCACAAATTCTAGAGCCTCTAAATACCCAGGAAGGATCTAAACGAGTTCTTCCGCTTGAGATGAAAGTGAGATTTGCATGTAAAGTACATTTACATGTAACAAAAGTTAGAAAAGACTGACAAGAGACAAACAACATCTGATAATAACAAGGAGCCCTGTATATTCATACTCTCGTCACATGGAATCAGTCATACCTGCAAATTTGACTGCAGTGTCTTGGTTTGCTTATACAGCACACTTTTTTCCGCTTCAATCTCTTTCATTGCAGTTAGCGTTGACTTCAACTCCCTATAATTAAGCATACACATAATTAAGCATAAAAATGTAAGTTACATACTGAACAAGTAATTTTTAACTTTGGCTGCTAGGGACTCATTTTTTAGAAAACAGAAAAATGACTCTAATAGCTTAAAAGTAGATTTTACTACAATTCAACTGTGAGCTTTCATGAAGCATTCAATTCTAATCATTACTGACATGCCATTAGGCTCAGACTATTTAGAGGGAAGGAATTAGATCTTCCACAGGCATATAAAAATTAATGTGCAAAAACCAGCCTATTTAATAATTACATGTACACCATACATGTCAGTGACTCACAAACAAAACAGACTGAATTAGTTTTATCAATCACCCAAACAAAAGATCGACTCTTGCATCCAACAATTAAACTGTATACATACAAACACAGCAAACTTACAGCTCAGTTGTGTCTTTATCATCTCTCAAATTCTTGGCTGCCATTTCAATTGCTTTTTTCTCTCCTTCCAATTCCACAGCTAATTTTTCTAACTCCTAAAAATTAATGTATAGTAATAATTAATAGCCTGAAGCATCTACAAATGTAGCTTACACTTTGCTTCTCTTGCTGCTCCTCTAGTTTTGATGACTCATCTTTGAGCTTATCTAATTATTAATAAAATTGACATTGTGAAAGCTAGTGGTATAAAGTTCACAGGAAATGAGACACTATAATTAGAGTAATATTTTCAAACAAAGTTGGATTCCCCCTTAGTGTTACATTTCCTTGTCAGACTTCCATTCACTTTGTACTTGTACATGTATATGTACAGTACATGTACATGTACATGTATGTGTATGTGCCAGCATTATCTATACATGTAGACGTAAATGCTAAAGTTTCTGATCAAGAAGTCCCCAAAATGCTGTCAATCAACATTCAACTAATTATAATAGATTCTACATGAAGTCACACATGTAGTGTACATGCATGTGTACATTTTAAAATGCAAAGAAGGGACAAAATAATCTTACCAATCATTTCTTGCCTCTCCTGTGCCATTTCCTTGCCCTTTTCCTCTAATTTTTCAATTACACTTTCTCCTATCTGAGCATTCCTCCATGTCCTGCATGTACATGTATTCTAATTATAGCTACTTAATATAAATGTACATGTATATACACATAATAAGTATAAAGTACAAGTATTTAGGACAATAGCTCTAACCTAATTACGAACAGCACCTTTGATTTCATCAACATACATGTACATGCAGAGTACATGTACATGTACAACAAAAAATATGACTTACAGTTACAACCTCAATGTTATTTGTTTCTGCATTGAAACTAGACGTGCTACATAACATAATGTACATGTACATGTGCACTGTACATTTATCATGTATAATACATAGTACATGTACATGTACAATGTATATGTTCACTGTGAATGTATACATATTATGCACATTAACATGTAAACATGTTGTATTGGAACAAAATAACAGAACCTTTGGCCGACTATCAATACATGATACAATACATGTTTACATGATTACATGCACATGATAAGAGTACTTCTTACACTTTAGCACAATCCTTGAGAACTTTGACCCATGAAGAACATTCCTCTGGACTTTCTGCCCCTACTACTATTTCTCCTTTGAAATGACTATGTGATATTCTAATTGCAAACTTCTGAGATCCATCAACACATTCTTCAATCTTGCAGCTACCAAGTGGAATAACACCCTGAAACAAGAGAATTAAATTGAAGTAGATGAACAACTCGGTACTTTAACATTTATTTAATCTAGTTTTAATATTCCGCTGGATCAAATTTAACAGTACCACACAAATACTCATAAAAGGTACAAGTAACAAAAATAACATCTAACAGTGTACAATATATGTGCAAATGAGTCAATTGAGCATATACATCTATATACATATAACTATGCATCATTAACTTTCAATAAAATGAGAAGGTCATATCAAACACGATCGAGTTAACTTGTTCACAGCAAACATAAATCAGCCATTAATGGGCCATTCAAAGTATGGCTGTTATGCAACTAATATCTAAAGGCAAGCCATTTTAATAAATTTGTTTACATAGGTGCGAACATTGGCTAGCTTTCACTAACACATAACACTGAAACAACTACAGTTCCAAAGAAAATTATACATGTACATGTACTTTACAACTACTGTACAGTTATAAACATGCACTACACAAGCAAAACTTTCAATAAAATACATACATGTATAAAATCATTTGCACAGCATGACAAGAAGAATTTATTCAAGTAGCAACAAAACTGTCCTTCATAATTATTTGTTTTTGTATACATTACCAAATGGAAACATATGAACGTGTCATCCTTCCATTCAATTTCTTCACCTTTACTTGTGAACAATTTATATTGTTATGAGAAATGAATGTCTTTCTCATCACTGTCAGAAGTAACAAAAATGGTAAATTACATGTACATTACAAAATCTCAGTTACGTTTCAATAATTCAAACTAAGCTACACATGTGAATAAAAAATCCACCTTTCACTGTTGACTTCTTAAAAACAAAGCAGTACATGTACCCTGTAAAGTCTCGCAACCCAGACCTAACACTTACATGCAAGTAGGGGAAGGATTTGGTTCAACCAGCAGTTGTAGCTTGTTCTTGTGCAAAGATTTCAGTGCGCCTACTAAAGTCCCACAATAACATGACAATTGACATTGTGTGCTTTAAGCAATCTTTAAAGCCTCAAAAAAGTCTTTATCTTCCAGTAACTTCCAGTACTGTTTCTATAGTGCACTTTATTTAATTCAAAGTAATACAAGAATGGCCGATGGAGCCATTACTGAAGGTTACTTTGTCAAGGAGCCTCTCACATAAACTGTACAGAGGCCAACACCAAGATTCTGGAATGTACAAGGACTTCTTTGAGTGACTAAGAGCAATCAGTGGGTGCACAAAAATCTCTGCACATAGCACAAGTTACTACTGTTGCTTGAACCAGACCCTTCACGGCTTAGGGGGTAGGTTTGGCTTGTGAAACTACCCTGCATTTGAACATGTATATAGAAAATGTACATGTAAAAAGAGTCTCGCGTAGCCACTAGCCAGGTTGATCAAAACTAAAAAATGATGGCATACATCACTCTCCACCAGGCTCTTCCCAGGAAGAGTCAGGATGCCTGTACTGTATTTACTTACCTTAGGATGAATGTTGAAATGGTGGTCTTTCTGGAAGGCTCGACACTCTGACTCGGCATAATAAAGAAGAAAACAGTCTTTTGCAATGAAGAACCTGCATGCATGAAATTAAAATTGACATGTCAGACTCGCTTAGTCTTTAGATCATAAATGATGCATGCCCCATTATCTCACATACCTTTTCTGCCAGCTGCCTTTTTTGCCTTTCTTGCCACCAAATGGTTTCTTAACTAAAATTCCTGACATTTGTACTTTTGTATCTCCTATATCAAAGCTGCCAAACTCAGATACGAATGAATTACGAGGACTACTAGTTGGCGAACTACCAGCCATTTTAAGAATATCTTCAGTTTCTTCACCTCAGGCTCAAAGCACTAAACTCTTCTAGCCGTCTCTTCTCCTCTACCTCAGCTCTGCTCACTATGACAGAATGGGCGTGGAGGCGGTGCAGTTGAAATGATTTGAGACCATTATTCCCATGAGAATACAATACAGGCATTACTATGGTTACACAGGAAGTGAAAAGGTAACCTCCCTTCTCCACTTAAAATGGCTACCTGCTAACTAATCATGATGACACACTTACAGCAAAGTTACTCCAGGGTTTCCAGCATGTTCCTGTCCTGGGGTGCTTTATTGAAAAGCACATACCCAGGACACAAACATGCTGAACCTCTCAGTTGTACTCACAAAGCAGTTAATTGACTGCTTTGCAAGTGTAGCTGAGATGACTTCATTAGTCAATAATAGAACCTTTAATTCCTTTATGTGCTAATGCTTGAAAAGCTTCTTTCATCGGAATATGACAGCATTTTTCGCAATTCGCAATGGGTAAAGCCTATAATATCCTGCATAAAAAATTCAGAAAAATTAATCCATCACTGATGAATCATGACTTCCAGACAGAAGTATAAAAACAGTATAATACCATGTCTTGATTTTAATCCAGGTAAGTATTGCTATGTCTCATTTTAGAATAAAAATGCAATAATAGAACAGTGACTTTGAATTCAAAAGTGTGAAACTATAATCAAACCTCTTCATCATCTGTTAGATGGTTTAGAAGAGATCATCACATCTCACACATGAAGACATATACTCGAGACTGATGTGTACTATCCACAACATACAGAAACAAACAGAAAAAAGCATTGACAATAACATATTTCAATAAGAAAGTTATAGTTCAGTCACTAATAAGACTATCATAACAATGACAGCAATAGCAATTAGTGCTCCCAGTAATGTAGGGATTATATACTTGGAATATCACCTAAATAAAATGAAGATGAAAGGAAATCAGATTACAATTGTTATGATTCGTGAATGTAACAATTAAACTATAACGTAGATCAGCAAAAAGCGCATTGATTCCTCAATCCTTATAAATGTAAATTTCCAGAAAATGAACAAACAGCATAGCTCTTTTGTTAATGAACTTCAGCAATAGCAGAGGATATAGTATGAGTTATATAAAAAAATTAGTCTTATCTTAACACAAAAATAACAAACACGTACACACCAATACATGCATAATAATTGCATATGCAGTATGTTACATGTACTTGTAGTTTTGGTAAACATAATAATTTTGAGTGTTTCTAAATCTAATAGTAAGAATATTTACCTGAGACTAATTGTCTTCTTAAGTAATTTATTTTATTACTAATACAGGGAATTGATCATGCTACAAGTACAGTGTGGGTAATGTTGGTGATACATATACATTTGAAATGTAGTCTAAGTCAAATTTACTGCCGACAAGTTAACCACATCACAAATTTATTTCCTTGGCAACCCCATCGACCAAGTTGACAATTTTATTCAGAGGAACTTAATTTTTTATAATTAATCGTATACTGGCATGTGCATTTGACAGTAAAAACTTTACTTCTTATCCTCCATTAAACTCAATAGTGAAGGTAGCCATCTTTGAGGGTTCACACCTATACAACTGCACTAATCTTGCAAGTTAGGCCCACAATTAAAAGTGAGAAGGGTATGATTAATTGCAATTATTCCAACTAGACTTATAAGCATTAAGAGTGCTGGAAAATTTTGTATCACCATAACAATTAAGCGAAAGTAACATCAATCATTACAGTGTCAATACTGTTAAATGCATACATGAACTCAAATTAACTATTATATTTTTCATTTTCGTCCCATATTATACACAAAAGAGTAATTGGAAATGGCCTTGGCAACGCAGGGACATAGCAAGTTGATAGCACTCTAAACAAAATGGTCATATTGCTGTATATAACTATATGTACTTGTGTGTAAAATTTAAAATGGCTGCAAGTTGAAGCAGGTACATATACATGTGAGCATATTTATCAGGTAGTTTTTTTTATGTTGCAAAAAGTCCACAAAACACTTCAGTAATGTCAAGAGTAGATAATAATTAGAGGAGAGTGTCCTACTGTGCAATACCCCCTGCTTCATCACGCCATAGAATTGAAGAGTCACATTCAGGATATTTCCGTATTTTATTTGAGTAGTTACAGTTATTTTTTAATAACTGCTCAAATAAAATATCCTGAATGTGACTCTTCAATTCTACGGGGTGATGAAGCAG